GTCCTAGTGGTAAGTACAAGCTGTGTAGACGTGGGATCATCTAGACAACATAATCAACTTTTCCGGTGCTTATTTAAAATATTTACTAGTTTATCCTGACTCAACGAGAAACGCAAGACCTACTAGGCTGCATTTAACCCCATGGAGCTCTCCACTGGCAGCCTGCGTAGTATGCTTACACAGCAGGGCAAAGTGGTACCGATGTGTGCAACACACCGTTATCCATGCGATCACATTTAGAAGTAAAAAGAATCCGATCAGAAAGATTCAACTAAAGAAAAAATAAAGAAAAAATTTTATTTCGTGGTAGCTAAGTTGCAGTTATGCACCAACATAAGGTCACTGAAGCAACATGGTCAATTCTATACGATAATGGTGGTTTTAACAGCGACTTATACGTGATGCAAGACTTTTTTTTGATAAATTGTTTTCTTAATAGTAGTGCTCTTCCTGCTGTTTATGAACCCTTATGAACGGTCATAATGGGGATCGTAACGTTAGAACTTAATCTCTAATCACAACGTTTTGTTCATGTCACCATAGCGTCGAGCATAAATATTTGCGTTGTTTTTTTTTTTGCATGTATCTTTCTGAAAGTGATCTCTTTCCATCTTTTTATATTTGTTATTGATTTTAAATTGCTGGGAGCATGACAAATATCACCATTAAATTATTCATTACACCGACTTCCACGAAGCCTCAGCGCGAAGCATTAAACGTTCAATCTCCTTAGCGTCACATTACTTTCTAGTTGAAGTTGTCTGTTCAAATAGCACTCGACTTCTTACGTACTAGCCAGAATATGCAAATGAGAACAATGCCACCCACGTTTTAACGTTATAGCGACATAAAAAACATGTGATGGATTATTTTATGCAAGAGTATTTACTGTTGCTTAATACAGCATTTGTCCAATCAGTACATAACTCCACCGCCTTCAGTTTGCTTTGAAAAATATTACCACGTAGATAAGAATAGATTGCCTTCTTCTGATTAAAAAATCGTGCTCCCACACTAGCGTCCTCAGGTAATCAGCATTTCCTACCTGTTCCTCGAAAAACTGTAGTCTTACGAAGTGAATGACTTGCATCTGGGTTAGTTAGTGAACTTGCATGTTCAATGACTGTAGAAAACAAAAGGTGCAAGTCACTTTAATGCATTTCCTCTAATTCACTGAACCTTTCCGCACGTTTGTCTAATCCTCTCGGTGCAGCGTTCTCGCGTTCCTTTCTTTGCATGCGACTAATGTATTCTGAAGCCTTTCAACTTCCTGATCAATGAGCTTCGCTTTCGGCATAGAGGAGAATTCCTTCACTGCAATGATTGGTTTTATTCGCTAAACTGACCAGAGTGCCAAAACAATGCCACTGCGAGTGCAGAGTACTTTTCGATGCGGGATTAATATTCGGGAGGCGCACGACACCAACGAAATGTAGTGTTTTCCATAAATCCGCAATGCACGGGTGCACGCTCACGGAAAGCCTTAACCACCTACCTGACTGCACTGCACTGCAAATAATCAGTCGGGGGCAAATTCTTTAAATCACCAAACTCGCCATCACCACGCGGTTCGCCACTAAATTCGAAGGATGAAATAACACACCTAATGAGTGCTCAATGAATACAGCGCTGCCTATGCCTTTCTTTATTTTTTAATGGCAAGAAGTTCTGTAAACCCGTGTTTATTTTAGAGACCCAAGCACAGGCATGCTCGGGATTTTTCATTTTGAGGGGTGGACTGGGAGGATGGTTCAACAAATGCGTAAAAGCTTCGCCACATTGTAACCTCCTTCCTCCTGTTTTTCAGACTTCCTACCACTGTGTATACAGGGCCAACACGAGGTAATAAAAAAAGGGAATAACGCCTTCCTCCTGTTCATACTGTAAGCTCACCTGTGCGTCCTCCTATGTGAAACATATGCAGCAGAGGGATGTGGATTTATAAAGGCACTCGCAACATGCAGTCGTGTTTACTCCAGAAAAACATTGCACTGACCAAGGAAGCTCATTGTCTCGCGCGTCGCACTCGTGTCTTATTTCTCCTCAAAACAGGAACCAGTGGCACGCGCGCTACAACGGCGTGCGTTTATTTGCGAATCTCTCGAGCGAGCGGATTTTCCGGTTTCCGGACCTTCGTGCAAAAACGGACGAACTGGTAAGTGCGACAACACCGGAGTGCACGGTTTCGAGTTTTTGGTGCGCATGTTTCAGAGTACTCTATGTATGAGCAATGTTTTTCCAAGCCTCGCGTTGTCGCAGCATAGCTCGAAGCGGTGCCAGATTTCCTTTGAAGACACGCGCTCCTTCTTTCGATGCAGTTCCTTTTTAGAATAAAACACGGACGTTCGACATTGGGACTTGTTAGTAACTGCCGAGATGAAGATGTTCAAGAGAGTTGTTTGTCGGGAAAATCGGCACTTATTTAAATCAAAAGAAAGTCCCTAAAACGTTGAAAAATGAAAAGAAAGACCTGTTGCCCCCTCCGTCCCACTGAAAATGTGTATCGTCATTTCGTAACATTTCGCTCAACAAATAAATACGCTACAGTCAGCTACTCTCCGCAGGCTTCGCATGACATTGATTCCCACGGTTTGTGGGGTCGGCCGACTTTTCTTTCTTTTCGACGTCTGGGTGGCTCTCCTTCAGCTTAAGGGAGGAATGGGATAGCGAAATAGCCCACATCGAGTTCTTTCCTTCGTACGAGTAACTCGCAGCTGTATTCGTTACCAGAGCGCTATCTGTACACTAGTTCCCTGTGTGAAGTTCCAAGTGCCTCCATTTTTTTATTGTAACTTTCACATCCATGTAACAAAAAACTTCGCAAACACTTGTTTGGTCCCATAGCCTTACTGACTAGTAGAAAGACCAATTGTGTGACATACCTACATACTTGCGCAAGCGGTTACACAGCGACAAAGAACACCAACCTGGATACAATGTTTAAAATAGAAAAAAAGCAAAAAGCATACGATTGAACTATACAAAGAAACATAGCGCAGTAAATAGCTACTTATAGCACAGAATAATAATAGCACTAGAATAATACTAATCATAATAATATTAATAATACTAAATGACTATGCAGACGTATTATTTAGAAAGTTCGCATGAAGTGCATGCTTCATGGCGAATGGAAAATTTCTAGCCTCTTTCACATCAGTCGGTATCGCATTCCATTTGAGAGCGCCGTGAAATTCTATGAGCCTTCGACCGTAGGCATTTCTGGCTACTGGTAAATTAAAACAGTGATTCGCTGCAGCTCTTGTACAGCGCGCGGGTAACGTAAAGGTGCTTAATGGGAATGGGTCATTACGTTTTATTATTTCATGCACTATATCAGCAACACTAGACACGTGAACAGAGTCCAGTGGAAGTACACGCATCATTTGAAACAGTGGTTTTGCAGTATTCGTCCTGTTTAAGTATGTAATAATCCGGACTGCCCTCTTTTGCAGGCGGCTAATACATTTCAAATGTTGCCCTGTCAGATGGCAACAAATGCTGCCATTTTAAAGCTAAGCAAAAAAAACAAAACTTGGCCACGCAGCGTCACGAGGCTTAACGTCATCCGATGTGATAGGAGACTGTAACGCGAGAGTGTTTGCGTAGATCGCCAGCTAAGGGTCCAAGATAAGAGGTGTTCATTTCTGGCATTTCACGCCAGACGTTCCGAGTAGCTCAACGATTCAACATGCCGTGCTGCGGCACAGGCCATGGTAACATATGCTTCATGAGGATGTAAGAGGTTACAGCTATTACAACATAGCGATTATATTTGACAGTCGAAAATCCATATCTTTCCATTTTTATCGTCATTTCATCGCTTATATATTTTTTTCGCTTTTAACGTTACCTTCACAAAAAATCAGTATTGCAAGTTTTTCAACGACCTTTAAAATAAACACGATAGTGTTGCATGTATACAGCCTTGTTTCTTGTACACCAGTTTGTAATTAAGGTGTGTCATCACGCACATCATTTTTGACGACCCACAAAGCAGTTCTTTCTTCGGGAAGACCAAGTCATTCCCGTTTCCTACGCTCATTTCGGGCCCGTTCCGTGTTAGGGTATAGTCACATAGTGTAGTGTTGTTGGATTGTTCTTTTTAAAGACGATAGTCTTCCTTGGGGACCTTTGACTTCAAACACTTGGTCTGTCTCTCCGTCTGTGCGTTTATCTGTTTGTCCACCTTTAACGATACCCCGAACAGCAACAAAATATACCCCAAACGGCCGACCCCGTCCGCAGCACCCACCAATATTGCTCAAGGTTCAGCGTTCATACTTGTGCAATTGTCAAGTAAAAAGTGATTATTGCGCATATTTGAGGCCCCGTAACAACACGTCAATATTCTGTGTGTCATTATACTAGAAAAGCCATACATAAGTAATTCTCAGGACCATAGTGTTTTTCGCGCAGCGCTGGCAAGGTAATGTTTGCACGAAAAGGCAAGTGTTTCCAAAGCTTTGCTAAGACGACACGGTTGTGGCTAAGATTCCACCAGTCACCTTGCGTTCCACACCTTATCGCCTCTGAGACGGGTGCTCACGCCGCGTGATTCGTTTTCCAAGATAACGGCCAGATAATGCTCATGTCTCACGTGTGACGTGACTTGATGCGCTCGTTCACTTCCACTGCACGCTCGAGGCACTCTAACGCAGCGTCTCCAGAATACCACTCACCGATTTTCTTGCGCAGAACATCAGATAAACGTTTTGTTCAATCTCTCCAGACGTAATACTATCGTCTTTCGACGACATTTGCAGTGTAACATGCTGATATGGGGCCAATTTTTTATTACGTGCACCAACACGACGCGAAAGAGAGCAGCGCTCATGTTCAAATAATTCATTCAGTATTACCATACGTAACTCATCCATTGCACCTTTGCGCGAAGATTACACGTTACAAAAGAAAATAGGGGATAGGACTGTCATTACTGCTGACGTCTTATACCCCAATAGACAACTCATCTACTGCAGCAGTGGCAACACACTCACCTAGTCCTGGAGGCACTTCGGGGCAAAGAGGTCGTGTAACCACTTCGACAGATGTCTTCTTCGCCTTGTCCGACGCAAACTTTCGCGTCCGTCGCGCGCTGTCATTGTCTTCGTCATCTTCGCGGACTGCCGTAACGGCCGACACACCACCACCCGCGCGTCTGTACACATCATCTTTCACCAACTTCCACGAGACTCCGTCGTCGCTCGGCACTGCACTCACCAGCATATCCTCACGGACCGATGCCGGCGACGTCAACCTCTGACGGTGCGGCGTCCCCGCCGAGGCACCAGCGAAAATGTCGCGTATTCTTGCCGCGTTCGCCAATCCCGTCAAGATTTTGATGTTGTTGTCCACGGTGGGCGCGTTGCGGTCCAGCAGGGCCTCGACCTGTAGCGCGTTGGGTCGTGCCCTGACCGCCGCTTGGGCCCGATTGTGACTAGCGTTGGGCTTGCGGTGCGAATAGTCTCCGCCCCGGGACCTGTGGACGGCCGACCAGGCCTGGAAGTGAGCCGTCGGAGACCCGGACGCGCCGCCTTCTGGGGACGAGGCCACAGGCCGCATCTGTCCCTGGGAGACTACCGCGACCTGGGGCCTGGCCGGCGACGGCCTGGAGGTGCTGGCCAGTCGGCGCTGGAGGTAGATTGCCCGTCGGTGCGAGTGGATGACCGCGATTTGTACCAGTGTCACGAGTATGAGCGAGAGCACGAATATGAGCAGGAGGGCGGATGGCAGTAGGCGCATGACACGCTTGACCGTGCAACACACCACCGGGTGCACCACGTGGTGGTGCGGCGCCGCGGTCGCGCGTACCATGATGACCATGGTGTACCGCCGCGCCGCGGGGAGTTCGAACGGCGGCGGAGAAGTTTGGGAGCCGCGGCTACGCCGCTGCTCCTGCCGGCGGCGGCGGAGCTAGGAGGCAGCATGCGGGACGGGCCGCATCCCGGTCGCCTTCTGACGGAGGAGAGACACCTCTCTGAGCACCCCTTGGACCACGTTGGCACGCTCGAGAGATACGTGGTGGCGGGGCGGGGTGGGACCCCTCTCCCGGCCCGCTAGGCGATGTTGCGATCGATGGGTGGGAAGGCGAGTTGGAAAAAGCTTCATCGCCGTTGCCGTGGAGATCAGCATCCCTTCGTCCGGTGTTCTTCGCAGGCGCCGCGGACAGTTAGCGCCCTCTCTCCGTTTCGCAAGTTGACTCCTTTTCCCATGGAGCTGTGGATGGCTGATGCCCTCTCTCTTTCTGACGTGATACTAGGCGGTCGCCCCGTGATAAGTATCGTAGTTTCGCGCGTATTATCCCCACCAGAATCCTAAATGATTGAGGTTTAAGTATTCTGGAGGAATTCTTATCTGCGCGGCTATGAATGCGTTTAGGCGAGATTTGCTCTAGATTTGCACATTCCTCTTTGTCATACCTACGGCGATGGCTGCAATAAAAACTTTCAACGCTGTGTGCATCACACAACCTAACTTTATAAAGGGATATCTGCTCTTAATGTTGAGTTGAACATCATAACTTAAGCACATCGGGAAATAAATGAATAGTAAATATGAGAAAGATGTGCTTTTTTCCAAAATGAATGTACTGAAGAAGCGATTTCCAAAATTTTCGTGGCTTTAGAAGCCACGTTATCAGTACAGAATTAATGGAATTTTATCGTGTCAACACCGGTTATTGTTTGGTATTGTTTCTTTGGCGTGACCGAGTACGCAGCATGACCCGGGGGGGTGATATCGGCGTAACTCTTTTACTGTTATAGGATATATGTCTCAACAGCGCACGTGTCACGGCAAAGTTTCATTTCTACTGAAAGCTTTTCCAGCCATTGTAAAACCAGTACATCTTCGTATCGCTATTTCTTCGGCTAATTTAATTTACTCTAGCGAACACACGTTTTAACCAATCGCCTGCTCACCGCATCTGACAAAGCGCTCAGAGAAATCCACGCGAACGGCAACACGTCACTTAACGTCACGCCGTAATTTGATAAATCGCGATGTACTGTTTCACAACTAGGTGGTTACCAGAGCCACGGCTCCTCTAAGGCGCTGATCAGGGAATGAATACTGATGCAGCAATGAAGGCAATCTTACAGCTCACTAAGGCAGCGTGTTTAAGACAGGAACAAGAGGTAAAGTAAAGGCAGGAATGTTAAGCAGTCTAGAACGATTGCATGGCAAGCTACCCTACACTATACCGGGATCAGGGAGGTTTAAAGATGGAGAGAGATAGAGAGAGAAAGAGGAGAGCGTGCACACGTGAAGTCGCACTTCACAGTCGTCATAACAGTGTTAGTCTGTAACCACCACTGCAAGTCTGTTTGAGAAGCTGTAAATGCCAAAGTATCTGTTAGCCACACCAGAAAGATGCTTTCCTCGGGTGATTGCGAGCTAACGAGGGCGCCAGGCAATTATCTTAATGAGCTGGTCGTTCGAAACAGCACGCAAGCAGTGTGGGTGACAAGGCTGCATAAGTAGCGGTACCATCGTACATTCTTGTTCTATGTAATGGTTCCACATAAAACACAGTTGTCCATAATCTATCCGGAACAAAACAAAAAACTTGTTTCGGTGCATCTGGCTGTGATGCGAAATTTCGTGTCAGCCGATCTCTCACTTAATCAAGCTACAACTGCGTTGGTTGTTCTGCCTCCTGTTTCAGTTAAGGTGGCTAAGTGATGACAGTTTAGATATTGTTCTTGCTGGAACTTTGGCTTCAACTGTACACATATAAATGTCTACAATATATGCGGCACAGTGCTTGTGGCCATTTGGTATAGATACACCCGATTAGCGGTAAAAGACTCGCAGTACGTAGCTTTCGACCCACAGTGCTAAGCTAGCAGTCTGTCCGGCTTCTTATTCCTTATCATTTATTAATCCCCTATAAGGGAACGAACCATTCACCGAAATCAACCACCTGAACAAGGAATTAAATATTGAAGGAGCCTTGCAGAACAGGTGCCAATATATCAAAACATATAAGTGGCAAGGAGGGCAGTGGTGTCCACGTTTGCACATAGCCACATTCTGTAATAACAAGTAAAGGACCGTGTGCAGGAACTGCATATATATATATATATATATATATATATATATATATATATTGTAACGACGAGAAATAAGAGACAACGCCTTTGCTGCAGGCCGGCTGTTCTTATTCTGACTTCGTCTTCCTCGGCTTCCGTAACCTAGCCTGCGCCCTTGCCTGAGCCCCACTATTTATTATCATTACACTCGGCCCCGACTGCGAGCCTCGTGGGCTACCGACAATGTCTCCGGTGGGCGGCATTGACTATTCCGGGGTGGCCGGGCTCGGCCAAGCTGATATTTCACATGGAAGTTTGTTGAAGGAGATTCCGGAGGACGACACTGGCTGTGACGTGATGGTCGGTGCAGGCGTCGTCCACGATGGGGCCAACGCTGTTGACTTGGACAAGATGCCGCTAGCAGGAGATACAGACTCCTGCAAAGTGGCCGCGTTGGTTTAATCTCGTCGGTTTGAGCATCCTGTCGCAGTCGTGTTACAATATATATATATATATATATATATATATATATATACTTTAGGCCTTGAAAATACCCAGGCAGGAGGGGAAAAGTACCAACAGAAACAAACAGTAAAAAAGTGTGCAGGTATCAAATATAATATACTGACAACAAAATGAATCTATCAAAAATAAAACAAGCACTGAAGAGTATGAAAAAAAATGGAAAAAAATATACAGAATGAAAAGATAGCAACACATAACTACCTAATCAATGTACAAGGGTATATGTGAGAAGCTAGGTCTAAGATGTAAATGATGCGATAGAGTCGGTGTTGCTTGGTGCACTAATAGGTAGGCTGTTCTTCTCTGTTACTGTTGTAGGGGAAAAGGAACACTTAAATATGTTGGTTTTGGCATTGTAAGGCGTTAATGTGGCAGAGTGGCGAAGCCTTGTTCGGTGAGCAGTGAGAAGTGAGAGGCTTAATGTAAGCTTCAGCAGAAAGAGACAACTATATATATATACATATATATATATATATATATATATATATATATATATATATATATATATATATATATATATATATATATATATATATATATATATATATATATATATATATATATATATATATATACTGGTTTTTGGTCTCCGTAAGGGTTTGTGAATAAGTTCACAAAACCTGACGAAGACCGGTCCACTGGTCAAACCGTTGGAAATAAAACTAAAACAACCGCTAAGTTGTGTCTCTTCTCTTCCCAAGTACGTTCGGCCCATTGTGTGTGTGTGTGTGTGTGTGTGTGTGTGTGTGTGTGTGTGTGTGTGTGTGTGTGTGTGTGTGTATGTGTGTGTGTGTGTGTGTGTGTGTGTGTGTGTGTGTGTGTGTGTGTGTGTGTGTGTGTGTGTGTGTGTGTGTGTGTGTGTGTGTGTGTGTGTGTGTGTGTTTGTGTGTGTGTGTGTTTGTGTGTGTCAGCCTAGCAACTCCTTGCTAGGCAGACAAAGAAAACATCAAATACAACGAGAACTCGGAGGCGGATTAGATTGATTAAAGCCCTTTGAATTGTTTACATTGAGGCGTGCAAAGTGACACCATTATGTTTTGTGTAGGAATGCAAACCTTTTTTTTTTTTTTTTGAGCGAAAGCTGTTATCAGATCAGAATACGGGTCATGCGCGTTGCCGTAGTTGCCGCCGCCGCCTGTGTCCGTAACCAGTATGGAACGCAAAACACTCAGTAAATAAAAACCCTAGTCAAACAGTGGGACTGATTTTTTTTTGGTTGTTAGGTCAATAGATGCTTATGAAAGAACGTGACGTTCTCCACAGCCTCAGTAATCTCACGTATTGCCTTATATGACTACCATTAATACCATTGCAAGTGACATACTAGCATTGCCATTGCCAATGACTATCATTGCCAGTGATTATGCAGTTATCAAGTGAAGATGCATTAATGCTGACTAAGATGATGAGCTGACTGACTGCTGACTAAGATGCCTCAGGTCCGGCAATGCTGACTAAAATGTCTAGGCACTATATTCCAAAAACTACTAAAATGCTCACGAAATATGTTATTCATGTATAATGCGGAATTGATAATACCGGAGAAACCAGCAGGCGCATAAATAACAGACTTCGTGAGCATTTTAATAATAATTGTTGGAGTTGGACGTCCCAAAATCACCATGGATATGAGAGAGAGAGGGAGGGGGAGAGAGAGGGGGGAAGGCAGGGAGGTTAACGAAGCTTGGCTCAGTTGGCTTCTCTACGATTATGAGAGGTGCCGTATGGTGTAGTGCCTCGGAAATTTCGACCACCTGGTGATCCTTAACGTGCATCTAAATCTAGGCGCACGAGCCTCCAGCATTTTCGCCTCCATTAAAATGCAGCCGCTATACGGCCGGGATGCAATCCTGCGATCAGTGGGTCAGCAGCCGAATGTCATAGCCACAAGACCACTTGGGCGTGTGTTGTGAGCATTTTAATTTCCTCGGAACATTGCAGCCGGTCATCTTAGTCAATGCCGCAGGAACTGGGCTTGTGCACCTTCATTTGGCGATTGCATAGTCATCGGCACAGGTATCAGCAAGGTGACCCTTGTGTCCAACGAGGCCATCAATATCATAAAATCGGCACCTTCCTGCATCGGCACAGCATCTATTGATCAGCCGGAAGAATTGGCATGCTTAAACAAAACTCAATGGTGTGGCTCTACATGTGCAATTATATAGTATTCTAGGTGATTTAATGAATCGGCTTCACCCCCTAGTTAGTGTTCTATCTGGTTTTGCTTTGTCTGCCGAGCCAAGACTCTCAGCGTCTGCACGCAATGGTCAACGTGTAAGTATCGCCTGTGTTGAATAAACATTCTATTAGAAGCGAGCGAACCGTCCTGTCATCCCTTTTTTCGTCCGTGTCTTGTTTGTGCGCCACAAGTTTCACAACGTATCACCACCGGCAAGCGCATTCATACAATCTGTGTATGTGCGGATTAATTTGCCCAACAAAATCCAAGAGG